ACTTATGGTCAACGAACCATCTGGCTGAACACGCTGACGTATATCATCGGGCAGTTCACGTCCACCGCGCTCCCAGTGTATTTCCTCAATGGGATAACCAGCAACAGGACATTTCAAATTTAATGTTTCACCCGAAACTGCAGTCACTTTTGGTATTAAGCGTATGTAGGGTAGACCTGCAATAAAAACCAAAATAAATTAGCATTGCTGTATGATGGAGATTTGCTCATACATATCTGCAATTAAGGATATGTATGAATGTATGTAACTTAAGCTGGTATTAAATTTGTTATGTGAATTAAAAATTATACATTTTAAAAATAATAAAAAAAAAATAAAATAAAAATAAGTAATTTTTATCCTTAAGCAGTGCTAGCACAGAACAATCAAGAAGATGTGTTATTAAAAAATAAAATCCTGATTCATGACAAAAATGGAAAATCCTTCCGAAAACTCTTACAGCACTGAAATGCTAGTGTAGAACATTACAAAATAAAAATATGAAAAAAAAGAAAATAAGAAAAAATGATAAAAAAGAGGAACAAGCAACGCCAAAAGCGTAGCAATTTAAAATAAAAGAGCTGTTAGGAAAAATCTGCCATTCTTAATGCTTTTGCTGTCCACATTTAGCATAAAATATAAAGTAAAAATAAATAAATGCAGAGAAGAGAGGAAAAAAAACTTTAAAGCAGGATATGTCAGTATAGTATGCACACGTAAAAAGTATCCACATTTCTGTGAAGTATCTTTCTGCCTCAGTGTATGTACTTATGTCACCGACAAGTTGATATAAATGTTGTATGGGGATATGTTGCGACCAGGATATTCTGTCCTCATAACTCTTTCTAAAATGCTGCGGCAGTGTAACATATGAGCTTGGATGAGTTTGCGTGTGTTTGTTAGTATTTTTGCTTATAATCACAGTCATTATCATCAGCGTAATCAACATCAGCATTTTTCTATTCAAGCTTCCGTAATTCTCTGTGCTTCGCAACGTCACACAGTAACAAAACCAGCACAATTTGTTCATCCTTCCAAGCATTTTGTTTATATTTATCCTTTTGCAACAACTTTTTCCTTTTCATTCCAATTTTTTTTTCGTTTTTTTTTTGCTTTAAAAATTTACATTTTTAATGTTTGTGAGGACAATATTGTTTCATTTTAAATTCCAACAGTTAATTCTAGTATGTTAGTTTTTTTTTCTATGAAGAATTATTAGCTGCATTTATACATTTTTAATAAAAATTAAAAAAATAATTTAAATAAATGGATTTGTTGAAATATCCTTTCCATATTTGAATTGATATTTAAATGAAATTATTTTTCAACTTCACTACACTTCACTTCACTGCTGCTTGCTGTCTACAATAAAAGAATTCTGCATTATAATAAACCATTGGAAATGAAAAATATTTTAAGAGGAAATGAGAAATACGTTTTGATCGCCTGCGACTGACAACACTGAAATTTGCAACTCAATGAATTAACCTATAACTGAAATCAACTTGTGGCTCAATATCCGTAACATGATGAAGTATTTTCAGTTATACATTCGTACAAGTATACTTATAGATATACTATATTCAGCTGAAATACAGCTGAAGTACAAACATTTCACATTATTGACAGCAAAGTTTCATTAAACTTTTATTATTTTTACTCAAAAGCTATGAAAATCTTTTGTTTGTATTTAATTTAACATAAAGGAAACTTTTTGCTTAATGCTCAGAACATTTTCGCAAAAATTTTAATTAGTGAACCGAATTCACCATCTACTCATATAATTTCTGCTGCGGACATTAATGGATTCAGATAGACATATCCGTACTTAAAAATATGTATAAGTTTACATAAACTTTAAAAAAATTATAATATATACAATAAAAATTTTGTTCAAATGTGTGTGCATTATTGGCTATAATTAATGTTAAAATACTTTATTCATATATAAGGCAGTAACTTATAACTCATAATAAAAAATCCCATTTTTTTCTCTTGTGTTTACACTTAAAACTTAATTTGAGCAATAACTGGTATTCTGTATCGATGTTCAGTTATTTGCACAGAAAAATCATCACTGAATGTATGAAGTAATGGAAATGACAGTTCATTATTAACGGATTCATGTTCATCACTGAAAAACATAAACATTTTATAGTAAACCTTTAAGTATTCCACTATTAAAAATTTGAAATTCAATTGAGAGTTAACACATAGTATATATACTGAAATTAGTTGTATATATATATATAAATTAATTACTATATTATATAGTAGCAGTATTATTAGTAGTCAATTAAAGCTTAAAATATGTATAAGCCATAAAATATGTGGTTAGATGAAAGATCTTTGCTGCGTTAGCAAAGGAGCATAAAGGTTCAGTTAGTCGGTACGTACCGTAAAAACTTAAATCAAAGCGAAATGCAAAACTACCTACAAATACTTGTGTATTTGTTAGTAATGAAACAACTAAAAACGGCGAACTTGGTTTATTCGATTCCTATCAATTACACAGAAATGATTGGTTGTGCATTTCGCTTCGACTTAAGTTCTTACGGTACTTACCGATTAACTGTGCCTTAAGTCAACTATCTAATAATAATTTTTTTTACTATAAAAAATGTTCAATTCAAATAAGCTTTTAAATTTCAAAAACTTTTAATTTTTAATAATTGAAATGACCATTATTTAGTTATAATTAAGTCTATTTCGAAAACCCTTTGTAACAGAATTTTCTAAACTGTATTGAGTTAGACTCTTACTAGATGGATAGCGTTGTTGTTGTTGCAACCCGCAGGGATCTAGATAGCAAATAACATGAAAGAATTTATTAGACGAATACGTGGTTTAGAATGTGAATATATAATGGTTGATTGAAAGTAGGGACGCCGAATTGCGGAGTAGTAGTGGATTGGTGATGAGTGGTGTTTAAATTTAAATTAACTCGGGTCCAGACGGAGAAACCTGGTCATTTCAATGGGATGGATCCAAAGATCAATTGGATGGAGGTTTGCGTATGTACTGTGTCAAATGAACAGTAGGACGACGTTATGGGAGAAAGAAGAGCAGTTTGGGCACAGATTAATTGGGTGATAAGTAACTATTATTGGCTATATACTAAACTAAGCTTGAACATTTTTGGCAGAATGGGGAATCGTCGTTCTTCCTGAATGATGTTGGGCGGGGGACTGTTGAAAATTGTTCTTGGATCAACCTTGGTCTTCAAGTGGATACTGCATATTTGTGGAGGACTGTAAGTCTACGTTTATACATAACTTCACTAATGTAAACTCCATTGCAAAAGGTATCGATTTATCGATGATAAGAACAGCTGAATCGACGGATGCATCTTGGACAAAGAGCTCTACTGAACATTTCTGTCTATCTGGCGTATCTGATCTACAACTATTTGATCTATCTGTGTTATGTATTCTATCTATATTTGGAATACATTAAAAAGAAATAAATTCTTATCTATAAATCGTTTCGACGATGTGCTGGTGAATCGCCTTGTCGAAGTTCCGCTGAATTTAATCGTTTCGCTAATCGTTTCAGCGATGTGCCGGCGACTCGTTTTGGCGAAATTACGGCTAATCTTTTCGGCGATATGCCGGTTAATGCTTTCAGGGATGTGCCGGCGACTCGTTTCGTCGAATTTATGGCTAATCTTTTAGGCATAATGCCGATAAATAGTTTGGGTGAAGTGCCGCTAATAATTTCGGCGATGTGCCAGCGAATTCTATCGAGCATTTCGGCGATGTGACGGCTAATTGTGTCGGTGATGTGTCGGCAAATATTTTAGAGCATATCGGCGAAGTGACGGTTAATTGTTTCGGCGATTTGCCAATGAATTGTTTAACGATTCACCCACTCATTTTAACTAGGCTTACTATATATTTTTTAAACAATGTATGAGTAAGAATTGAAAAAAATGGTGTTGAAATTTTTTTAATCATTTAAGAAGCGATACACAGCATATACTAAATATAATTAATATAAATCATTTTTAATGCAGTCACCGTTTCAAATATTAGTGAACGCAACTAGAATTTGAAGCAATGTCAATAAGACAAATATTCGCCGCTATATTTATTGGGTTAATGCAAAATTCGAAAAATTTTATCACAACCACAAATAAAAATATTAGTATAAATACTGTTA